GTCGTCTTTCGTCCTACGGCTCGTCAACCGTTCGCGGTCGTCCAAACGTCCGAACCGGTTTCGGTACGCCCCCTACGGACGTGTGTCCCCCGTAGCCGAATGGAATGGTACTTGTCTCAGAACTGCAGTGCGAACCCCTCGTATTTTAAGCCTTTCTTCAAATTTTCAGACCGACTGAAGTCAAGTTCTGGGTTCTTTCCTATTCCTCAGGCTGCCGGCCAGCGTCGTCCAGACTCGGACGATTTGGACGCCCCCGCGAAGTTTCCCCTCGCAACGGACCCTTACTACCAAAACCTGCTGTGCGACTTCCTCCGGATTCCTACTACTTTCGATATTTATAGGTTATTCAACGAGTCTCATCATTTCCCTTCACTCCTTTTCTCCAGGCTGCCGGCCAGCGGCGTCCGAACTCGGACGATTTGGACGCCCCCACAATGTTCCCCCTGGCGACGGACCCGTACTACCAGAACCTGCTGTGCGAGTTCTCGGGCATGCTGGCGGTGGCCGCACACGCTGCGCGATTACACCCCCAGGAGTGGATTGGGTTCCAGAGCTGGAGGGCCGTCGATAAGCGGGTGAGTGCAGGTCTGTCTAAAAGATGTTGAGGTACAGCTCAAGAGTCTCGGTGCTATTGGTTGCTTCGCACTGGCTTTGAATGTAAGGCTTTCTTTGGTGAACGTCAAAGCTCGGCGACCAATTCAGAAGCAAAGGCACTGCGACGTGTTCTGAATCTGTCCGGAACGAGGAGAGGAACAAACCTTCTCTCCTATCTGAATGGTCTGAGCCCCCTTGCAAGCGGCGGAAGAGTCGATCCAGATATTCGAGAAGAGGCGGCTCTATGGCGCATTTCTTATGGATTTGACGGGAAGTAAACTTGTCTCACTGACCGCTTGAATTGTTCGCACGTGCAGAGAGCCCTTTTCGAAAGCCACGGATGACTTGGTTCTGTTAGCCACCAGGAGCGGGACCACGCAGCTGCGGGTTTTTCTCGTTTTCCTGCACCTGAAATTTGCTTCTTACGCACTAATGACATTGATACGTGCAGAGAGCCATCTCGTAAGCAGCGGAGGACTCTTATTTGAAAGGCTACCCGGAAGCGGAGCCATGACAAAGTAGTCTACGTTCGTGTCGGACCGTGGCATAAGCTCAACATTCTTTGGGAAAAACAATCTTTGAAGGATCTAACGATTGCGTCTGTGCAGAGTGCTCTTGTGCAAGCAGCGGAGCCTCGATGGGTAAGGGCCACCATGATTTTAGGCGAAACAACGTGGTTTTTCGGGTCGAACATATAAAGCGGAAGCAACTGCCAAAATTTTCTCTGACCTTGTAAAGCAAAGTTAAAATTCTGTCTTTCTGTATCTGCACAAAGCCCTGTTGCAAGCGGCAGAGGACTCGATTGTGAGACCGACCCGAAAGCAGAGCCACGACGACGCGCTTTACTTTCGGTAATCCGGTAAATGAATGTTAAACCATACCGACTGATTCTAGAACGTGGTCTGCGCAGAGAGCCATCTCGCAAGCGGCGGAGGACTCGATTCTATCGGCCATCGGGAAGCGAAGCCACGGCGATGCAATCTACTTCTGGTCAGACGGGGGGGAGGACGACGTACGCGTGTTGGACTTTTACGAGCACTGCGACCGAAGCCACAAGCACTGCAAGTGAGCCTGTCAGCTTAGATCCGTTTCACCCTTTCTGCCCTCTTCATTGCGTGTCACATTCTGTCTAACTCGCCATTCCGGACATCCCCTGACTCAGACTGCAGTCGCTGAAGTGATTTCTGGCTGAGAATCTTGAATGTCCTGTGTGCTAGATTTGGGCGCGGTTGCGGTCTTATCGACGCTCACTGCAAAAACGACCCTCAAACGGTCCTTTGTCGTCTACGTCTGATCTGTCTGGTTAGATGGATGCGCTAGCTTTGGTCCTCAAAATCATCCAAACCACTTTTCGACTACGAAGCACGGATGCTTTGAGCTTGGAAAACCTCTAGTTGCAGTCACGAGCACTGCACGGGGTTTAAACGTCACGCCTGCATGCATGCACCCCTCTCTTCCTTCTCTGGCTGGTATATTGGTAAGCTTCATCACCTTACTTGCAATCAATATGCTTGCTACGTAGCCGTTGCTATTCCTTTTCGTGTTCTCTCCTTGGGCATTGAGCGTACCGTTGAACTCCAGCTCGGCGGAACGGACTCTTCGGCAGCGCCTTCGATGTCAAAGCGACGGCAATCTGCTTGATGAAGTGTCTTTCAAGGCTGTCATTATCTTATGAGAAAGTTAAAACTTCGCATGGTGCCCCTAACGATGATTTCCATCCCGCCGGATTGCTTTTAGCTGGCATTCGGCTTTCTGGACATTAGACGGTTAGCTCTGTAAGCGCCGCCAAAGCTCAAGGACGGCTCCGTTTGGACCTCAACTCCTATCTCAGGACAGCGCACCCGTCTGTGCATACTCACTGAACCACTTTTGATTCCACCCAAGGTTGCATTTCAGCGGGCTTTCGGGCAAATATTTGGTCATCGGCCTGTCGAAACGGACTCCCCAGGTGCGTCGCCGAAAGCCCCTCAACGGCGGAGCCTTCTTGAAACGGTTTGCAGCTTGGTCTCACTTCGGCACTGCTTTCCGGATCTCTAATCGGTCGGAATTTCCATAACAAACATCTTACCGCCCATAAAATCGCTTTTCAACGAGCGCTTGACGTACCATCCGGTCACCGGACCGGTAAAATGGAAGTGCCGTTCCCCCAGCAACAGCGAATCCTTCCCCTTACCGCTCCGTAACTTGGTTTCAGTCTGGCACTGCCTCCCGGATCTCAAAAACGGGTCGGGCTTCTCATTTCGACATTCATTGCTTGCCGCAGGACTGCTTTTCAACGAGCGTTCGGGGTAGTATTCGGGCACTGGACCGGCAAAACCGATGCTCCGGAAGCGCCGCCAATGCCCAACGATGGCGAACAGCCGTTTGATCTCAAATTCCTATACGAGGCAATGCAAGCCGCTTGGGCATATTTCATGAGCCATTTTGACCTCCCCACAGGATTGCTTTTCGGCGGGCGTTCGGCGTACTGTTCGGTCACCGGACCGGCGAAACCGACGCTCCGGACGTGCCTCCGAAGCCAAACCACCGCGTCTGTCGTTCTATCAGGACGTTTAACACGAGCAGATGCAAGCCGTTCGTACATACTCAACAAGCCAATTGTGCCCGCAGGATCGCTTTTCAGCGCGCGTTTGGCGTACTGTTCGGTCACCGGACCGGCGAAACCGACGCTCCGGACGCGCCTCCGATGCCCAATGACGGCGGGGCCTGGGTGTTCATGAGCTACTTCGTCATGCGGACGGAGAGCTTTCTCGAGTACATGCGCTTCGTAAGGTGAGTGAGACCTTCAGCATTTTCCGCCCTTGAATATCAGCATTCATAGACTGTCTCCGATATACTTTCCAAGGTTCGACTCTGGTGTTACGTATTGCGCTGACAGCGCCTCTTGTTGCGTTGGACCGAGAGCTTCTTGAAGTACATGTGCTTGATAAGGTGAGAGCTCGGAAAGCTTGAAGCTGAACTCCTGTCGGTTCGCTGCAATTCTTTCGAACCAACGCCTGATCGGTACGTGGACAGGGGGACCGTCAAAGCTGAGTATGCCCGGTAGACTGCTTTCGGGTCCTTATCAGGTCATTGAAGAACTCCTTTCCTCGATCAGACGCGCTTCGTGATGTAAGTGAGGCCTTTGAAACCCTCGGTTTCGAGTGCTCCCAATGAATTCCAAGGTTGGTGGTAGCTGTGAATTTTGGTTGGACAGCGCCTTACCTTGAGCCACACATTGGATAAAGTGGAGCGCTATTACTTTTCCATGAGTTAGGGCGTCATGTGGCAAAATAGCTTTCACGAGTACATGCGCTTCGTACTCTGAGCTCACATCTACCACCTGTGAGCTACCTCTGAGATCTGTCCGCTTTTGTGGGCTGCCATCACCCCTCCAGCACGACTTCTGAGACCAAGGCTGACAGCGCCTCACGTTGAGCTACCTGTTCAGGTTTGGAACTGTATGTTTCCAAAGAACAATTTTCAACTAGTACTCCGTTGATCGCTCGCTGCCCCCGTCTGTCAAGCCCCCGCCTAAACTCTTGTGCTCTTGGCACAATTGAGTGTCTAGCGCATTGCGTGCACCACTCTTTCCTGATAACCGTAAGAGGAACTTTTATCACCGCTAAAAAATTGGTTATGCCGCAGACGATCCGGCTCAGGGCCTTCTCTGCACTGGCTTCTAATCGACTTTTCAGGTGCATGAATCTGCCAACTGAGCTCCTTTTCTTGAGTTTCCAAGCTCTCAAATGGGACCCCAAATACGGCAGAACCCAACCCCAAAATTGAGGGTCGAAACCGAAGCTCCATCCTGGGCACCGCTTTCCCGGACGGATCGGCCAACTGGACTTTCTCCTAGCTAAGATGGTTCAGCAAAAGTCCAGATTCGATCTCCCGCAGGGACTTCTTCATCGCGGTCGATGACATGTGGTTTCACACGCACCGGGACGCAAACGTATGCATTCTGGCCCAGGGGGTCTCGAGCAGCCCGGAATACGAGGTGAGCGTAGCCCCCCAGTATGCCTATCGCAGGAGCATCTTCTTTTCTGGTCAGCCCCGCTCTCGTGGAGTACCGACGTTGCAACTGCTCGACGTTCTGCGTGAATTGCTCGTACCATCCTGTTCCGCATCCGGTACTCACCAACTTCAACGCAGAACTCGTAAGGAGGGGTCTACTTTCTACAATTATGCTCTTATCGTCCGACGTATTCTTGTCCGTCAAAAATCCAGAGCATTTTCAACTGAGACTTCAATCGGGAACGATCCACATGGAACTGGAGATCAAACGAGAAGAACGCAGGTTTCAACTCCGCGGCTAGGGGAATTCGACGCGAGGGATGTGAACATGGATCCAGTCTTGTTGATAATAGAGAGACCTCGTTATCAGTCTACGATTCTATCACCCTTGGAGGTTTTAGGCGACGCTCCTTTTGACAAGCTGAGATGGAGCGTAGAATAATGAGGCTGCGTAGTTGCAGACCGGTCTTTCTTGAGCTCATTGTCAATTCCATCCAAATCGACCTGACGAGATTGTTCTTGCATTCGCAGAGCCTGCACTGCTACTGTTACCTGCTAGAGCGGCTGATCAGCATATGGGCGTACCACTCAGGCCGCCGCATGCTTTTTGTCAACCCAATCACGGTGCGCCTATACCCACTCTCGCAAATTCTGTCTGTCTTCAAGCCTCGCCTTTTCTCTTCCCCAAGCCTCTTCTCTTCTGTTTGCATCTCTCTACCCACCGCGCGGCTGTTCGTTTCTCGCCTTTGTTGTCGCCCCCAATCACGGTGCGCTTTTGCCTAGTCTCTTTCTGGTTCTTTGACTTTCTCCTTTGCTTTGCCTCTACGTCTTTCCTGAATTTGCCTCCTCGTCTCTTCCTTTCTGTGCGCATTTCTCTACTCTCCGCGTCGCTTTTGTTTCTCATTTTTGTTGGCACACCCAGTTACGGTGCCTCTTTGCCTATCTTCTTCCGGTGCTTCGTTGCTCTCCCTCCTTTACCCCTTCTTTCAAGCTATCATTCTTCCTCGCGTCTCCATGTTTGTTCGAATCTCTCTGCCCCTGCCCTCCGCGTCCCTTTTCGTTTCGCTTTTGTTGGCGCACTCAGTCACGGTGCGTCTCTGCCAATCTTCTTCCGGTTCTTCGTTGCTCTCCTGCGTTCACCCCTCCTGTTTTGCCTAATCTTTCTCCTCGCGTCCTCCATCCCGTTCGCGGTTCCTACCCTCCGCGTCGCTTTCGTTTCTCGCTTTTCTGGCACACCCAATCACGATGCCCTTTTTCCTCATCTCTTTCCGATTCTAGGTTCTTGTCCTTGCTTTGCTCCTACTTCTTTCCTGAGTCTGCCTCCTCGCGTCTTCCTTTTCGTTCGCGTCTACATACCTTCATCGCCACGTTCGCTTTGTTGGCGCACCCAGTCACGGTGCGCCTCTGCCTAATCTCCTTCCGGTTCTAAGCTTCTCTCCTTGCTTCACCGCTTTCTTTCTCCTAACTCTTCCTCCTCGCGTCGCTTTTTCGTTCGCGCCTGCCTGCCCTCCGCGTCGTGTTTCCTTCCTCGCTTCTGTTGGCGCACTCAGTCTCTGTTCCCCTCTGCCCACGTCTCTCTACCTTTCCCTTTTTCTCCTTGCTCCGCCTCGTCTCTTGTCTTTCTTTTGCCGTCTTCCTTTCTGTCCGCGTCTCTCTACAATCCGCGTCGTTTCCATTCTCGCTCTTGTATGCGAACCCAGTCCTCGTGCGCCTTTGCCTGATCTTATTCTGGTTCGTCGTCCTCTCCTTGCTTCACCGCTTCTTTTCTCCTGATTTTTCCCCTCGTGTTTTCCTCTCTGTTTGCATCCGTCTACCCACCGCGTGGTGTTCCTCTTTCTTGGCGCACCCAGTCTCCGTGCGCCTCTGCCCACTTCTCTTCCGGTTCTTCGTTCCGCTTTCTGCTTCACCCCTTCTTTTCCTGATTCTTCCTCCGTGCGCGTTCCTCGTTTCTGTTGGCGCACCCAATCGCGGTGCGCCTCTGCCCTTTTCTCCTCTGTTTTCTTGCTATTCTCCTTCCTTCACCCCTTGTGTTTTCCTGCTGATTCTTTCTCTTCGAGTCTTGCTTTCTTTTCGTGTCTCTCTTCCGCGTTGTATTCCCTTTCTCGCTTCTGTTGTCGCACTCAGTCACTGAGCGCCTCTGTCCAGCTCTCTCTGGTTCCCCGTTTTCCCCCTTGCTTTGCCACTAACTTTTTTCTGACATTTTCTCCTCGCGTCTGTTTTTCTCTTCGCAGCCCTCTACCCACCGCGTCGCTTTTCGTTTCTCGCGTCGTTTGGCGCACCCAGTCACGTTGCGCTTTTGCCTGATCTCGTCCTTGTTCTTCGTTCTTCCCCTTGCTTTGCCTCTAGTTCTGTTCTAATTCTTCCTCCTTGCGTCTTCCTTTCTGTTCGCGTCTCCCTACCCTCCGCGTCCTTTTTGGTTTGCTTTTGCTGGCGCACCCAGTCACGTTACATTTGTGCCTGATTCTTTCCAGTTCTCCGTCTCTCCCCCTTACTTTGCCTTTAATTCTGTTTATACTTCTTCCCCTCGCGTCTTCCTTCTTGTTCGTATTCCTTTGCCCTCCGCCGTCGCTTTTCGTTTCTCGCTTTTGTTGGCGCACCCAGTCACGGTGCGTCTCTGCCAATCCTCCTCTGATTTCTCGTTGCTCTCCTTCCGTCACCCCTTTTTTCCGGCCATTTCTCCTCCTCATGTTTTAAATTTTGTTCGCGTCTCTCTAACCTCCGCGTCCCGTTTCCTTTGTCGCTTCTATTGGCGCACCTCATCACCGTGCGCCTCTGCCCACTTCTCTATGGTCTTCGTCTTCCTCCTTGCTTCGCCTCTTCTCTTGTCTTGAATCTGTGTTCTCGCGTCTTCCCGTCTGTTCGCGTGTTTTTCTATTCCGTTTCGCACCAGTCTGGTTCTTTTTTCGTTCCGTTCCGTTGCACACATTGTTCTTTTTCATGTGCCTCCTTTTCTGAACCCCGTCATGATCATCTTGTCACGCCTTGTTGTCTTTCTGAATCCAGTACTCTTTCGTTCGTCTGCCCCCCCCTTCCTTTTCTGCTTCCTGCTTCATCTTCTGTCCCTTCGCCTTACCTCTTTCACTTTTTTGTCCCCTATGTTGTTTCTTTTCATGCCTTCCTTTTCCCTATATTGGCGAACTGGTGTCGTGCAATGACGAAGCCTGCCGGGGGAAGAACTGCAACAAGATGCCGAGATTGATATTGATCGTGACCGGAGCTTAGTGCTTCTTTGTTCATCACAGTGCGCTCGACCAACCGCGTTCAATACTAATTTGCTGCCTTGGTTGCATTTCCCGGTTTAGACAAAAGCGGTCAGTCCCGCCAAGGGGATCAGTGTGGACCAGAAGAAACTTGCCAAAATGTACTCTCCACAGATTGTGAGAAAGTGTATGGCGTCATTGCATATTGTGCGGTCAGCTGGCAAAGCTACAGAAAGTAAACAATAAGAATCCGGTCTCGCAGTAAAGGGTCGTTGTTTGGTCGGTCTCACTTAGATTAGCTGCGGAAGATCTCGTAACTCTGAGCCCTACTTTTTCTTACTTTCCAGGGCAGCATCTCGGAACAGCACGAGCTGAAGGAGCGGACAGCGTGGCTGCATTATTTCTCGAAATCGCAGTTTCGTAAACATTTGGAGAAACTTGAAAGGAGAGCCGTCGCAATGAACGATCGAGGGCTAATACAAAAACTCCAAACCTTTTGACAAATGCAAGTGTAATAATCATCCGGTTGCGCTTTGGCAGGGTCGGCCGTTCCAAATGCAGCCAGCCGCACTTCTTGAGGTCGCTCTGACCGTCTATGTGCTACTCAGCCCGCCCCGGCCTGCCAGGCTCACTGTCATGATGATATGCATAAGGATCCTTGTGATGCCATGCTGGACCACTCAATCTTGCAACAAGGAACTTCTCATGGACTCGTCTGGTCTTGTATATAACATGCATGTCCAATTAATCATTTGAATCACAGACTACTACTAGCCAACATCATGCAACCATGGCATATACCACCTTGTAATTCCGGCCGTCCTATACACAACCTACGCGTGGTGCCATTGAGTACGTGCTTGATCCGACGCGGCCGGGGGGCTGTCCGCTCGCGCGGCTAGCTGTCTTGGTGCTACTTTTAAAACGTTTCACTAAAAACAGCCTGCGATCCATGAACCGTTGCGGCGGGCGGGCTGCATGCGAGATCACATGATATGGGCCTTCCAACAAAACATGCATTAAATCAAGATGGTGCCGCGTGGCCCGACCATGGAGCTGGCCGGACGCAATTGATCATTCGCGCAGCCGCGCCTGTGCTTCGATCACTATTTCGATATCACTGGCATTTGTGTACGGTCGCCGCGGCCCGGGCTACCTGCAAATCCATGGATTGACCAACATGGGACCAACATATCAGTCTGCGCGTAGAAAACGACCTTTGGCTACAATGGTTCTACTTTAGTTCATATTACGAACCAAGATAACCACTTACATATGTTGTAGAAGCCTCTGATCTGTTCATCTGTCGCCCAAAACAAGTTCTAGCTCCTTGAACGTATTAAGATATCAATATAAGGTCCGCAAAGGCCCGGCCTTTCTATCATTTTAAAACGTTTTAAAATTGTTTTAAAAACAGGCGAAGCAAGCCCAATGACTTGTTTTAGTTTGCAGAGTACATGTTTTAAAACGGGAGTTGCCACCCCGCCGGCCAACCGCACTGCAACAGGACCGCAACGCGGAACGGCGGCCGCGCCGGAGGCCTCCGAGGCGGCCGCGCTCCAGCGCCGCGGGCAGCGGGCCGCACGGGGTGACGTCACGGTAGTCCGTACCCTCGTGGCTCAATGCCCGGCTCAATCATGCAGACAGTGAGCCGGGCATCCCCGGTCAGGAGCCGTGCATGTCTGGATGAGCTGGGCAGCATGCCCGGCTCTTTCCCGGCTCTTTCTTTCAGGTGGCATATGAGCCGACCAGGCAAAATGAGCCGGGGGTCCCACCCCGGCTCAACCCCCGGCTAAAAGCCAAAACTTCCTATGGAGGGAACCATTGTACTAAGTTGAGATTGGTAAATAAAGCTCTTTCAAAAATTAGTCAAGTACTAACCCCTTTTAAGAGCGCCAGAAACCATCCGAAAACTCCGGTAAAAATCGTACTGACCCGGAATGGAGACAAACCAGAGCTTCGGTGAGGCCAAGTTCTAAAGTACAGTCTATAGTACTACACCGGCCATGCCGAGTCGGGAATCTACTGAGTATGTAGCAGCATGAGTACGTAGATTACGTCCCTACCAGTATATCGCTGTGCACTGCACCAGTGCACTGAGTCGAACTGGCCGCCGGCCGGGGACTACGGTATTATGTGGCGTCAGCCCTTCATGTAATTGAACCCGCACAGATGGCGCGAAACATGTGATTTTTAAACAAATTGAACGCGGCGACGGGTCTCCAGAAAAGATTGTTGCCAGAAAAGCGGGAGCTTCTGCGGCCTGCCATCTGGTAAAGACGTTACTCCGTACCACATGAAAGGAGTACGGTATTATTACGGATAACGATGGCGCACGTGATAAATTGTCAGCACAAATCATGCGAAGATTCAACCGAGCACTGGCCAGGGAGAACCACGAAAGAACCGATATTGGCCGGTACGCACCAGGGAACAGCGGCCTATGTCTACTACCTACCTAGGTACCTACCGGGTACGGTTCTTACCGGTACTTACCGTTACCTAGGTAGTTCAGAGGCCCATGGAGCGGTCACGACTCACATCTACGACTAGTCGGTAAAAGTTTGGGGCTCCCGAAAAAGGAAAGCTCGGTAGAGTCGGTACCAGAATAACTTTTTGGGATGGGAGCCCTGGGGCACCCTGCCGGTCATTTTCGGGTGCCCGGTGGGCACCCCGGGGTGGGCACCCAGGGGCCAGAATTGGGTGCCCAGTGCAGCAAAACCGTCAAAGCAGACTCCTTTTATTAGTGTCTCCGCAACTTTATCAGTGTGAAATATCTCAGGTGACTTTTTCGGGGACTCTCGTTCAGGCAAATGGCCACCTGTGTCAGATCCAGGTACGTAGTCATTCAGAAAAGTGTTGGTAATGTGGTAATCTTTCGAGCGTACCCGGGTAATCTTTTCGAGCGTACATAGGCAGGTAGAAATCTTTCGAGCGTCCCTACAAAACAATTTAACAAAAACGTCTTCGTTGTTTCCCCTCATTCTCACATCTCTTTCTCGAACACCTCCCTCTCCAAAATCTGAAGCGCCAGCAACATGAAGGGTTTCACCATCTGCACTCTGGTTCTGTTGCTGGGAGTGACGTCCTTCGCTGAGGGTAAGGAGCTTTCCGACAATGTTTTCATCCGCTGGCTTGACGCCAGACAGAGGTTTTTTTGGCATCTTAATGTTCCTGCAACTAGGCTGGAGCCACAGTCTTGATGTATTTTAGAAAAACTTTTGCCTTTAGCGTTCTGCTGCTCCTGCCCCTAAGCTGCCCCTGCACCTTGACTCCCAGATATGATAACTAGCATTCTTGTTATAGGGGTCTGCTGCTCAAAAAAGTGAGACACTTTTGAGTACTACTTTTGTGCAAGGTAGTTTCCCCGTGGTTTCTTTCTTTGCCAAGCATAGCAACAGCATTTCCGCTGTCACGCACAAATTCTGAGATTTGGGTCATTTCTTGTATTTTTGAGTACTTGCAAGCCAGTCTTGACAGTCTTGACCTTTTCATCTCAAGAAGCTTGTAGAGTTCTTCATTTTGTTGCTGAGAAAGGGTGTGTTAAGGTGTTGATAAAGATTGCTCACACTTGGAGAGTGAGCAACCTCCTAGGTGGAAGAAGTGGGCTTATATAGTAGTAGCGTGAGTTCCTTGCTTGTCGGAACCAGCCTGTTTTCCACAGGCCTCAGGGTCTCTTGACTCACTCCTCAAGACAAGCTTACGCAGCCCTTGCAACCCTGTGCTATATCAAATTGCTCACAGCATTGTTTTTTATTGGTATTTCGCAGCCAAGGACTGCCCCAGTGGGCTCATCCCCTGCTACAATGCCCCTGGTAACGACAATGTCTGCTGCCCTGGATCGTGTGGACCCAGCACTAACGGTGGCCGGACCGCCACTTGCGCAAATGGTGACACCGCCGCCACTCAATTCCCCCAGCCGGTGAGGTTCTCTCGACAGAAACAATCCCACAAAATATTTTTGCGGTGACTGATTTTCCCAAGCCACTAGTCCTACAACGATATTGCCGTTAGATTTGTAGACGCACAATACCATAGCTTCTTTGCTTGCTTCACTTTTCGTTAGTGTTTCAAATGAATCAGCACTAGTACTTCTGATGACTTGTTTCATTGTAAGCAGCAGCTTGCAGTCTGCTACTGACATTCCTGTCGAACATTGGAAATTGTGGTTTTGGGGCTTTTCCTTTTCCCTCAGATTCGCCTGGAAGAGCTGTTGTGTCTTTAAAAACATTTATTGATTAATTATCGGCAACTTCCATTCACGTAGAAACTGTAGCGGTGTTCCTTTTTTATGCTGAACCGGACTACAAATTAAGCCCAGGCTGGAACCAAAAAGTCGGATTTGTGGAGTTGCGACTGCCAGCTAAGGCTTGCCCCAGATAGCCAGTGCTGTTTTGCGGGAGAAACGGCATTGTTGTTGTTCTAGGCTGAACCAAGACTCGCAGTGGGGGTGCCCATGGAAGTCTTCCGACCGTGCCTTGTGTTTTTGTTGTATCATACTTATTTCCCTGACTCCTCCTCCCAGGATGGCGTAGAGCCGACCCTTGCTGTGTACGTCCAGTTTGATGACCAGAACCCCCTTGAGAACTGCGCCGGACAGGGCGGCGGTGAAGGGACAAAGACCGGTGACAAGTGCATGTACAGGTAAGATTAAGGTGGAAAAAATTGCAGTTTGCCCTTGTATTGCAGCTTAAAATAGCAGTTTACACTGAGTGGTTGATTCAGCTTTGGCAGACTGGTGCTCTTGATCACACCAGGTCTAACCAGATCTCCTCCTTAGAAATGTTCAGTCCTTAACTTGAGAGTTGGCACTTCTCATGCCTCCACAGGCACCACAAGCCACATCTGACGGCAGCCTCTTTGCTATTATGTATCTGATATTGGGGTTACTTCTCCTCTTGCAGGCCTCACCTGTACAGCCAGGCCACCGACGAGATCATCGGGTACGCCACTTTCTTGGTGACCTACGTTGTGGCCTATGACAATGTCCCCAACGTGGAGGAGTTCGTCCAGTTCACCTTCTACTTCACCCCCCCCGGCCAGGGTGACAATGCTGCCAACAACATTGTGTCCGATGACAACATGATCACAATGCAGGTCCGCTTCAAGTCCACTGGAAGGGTGAGTTGAACTTTCTTGAAAAACACAAATCTTCCATCAAGGGCTTTGCAAACAGAATGTCGTTCTGACACTGATGGCGATCTTCATATGCCCGATCCGGTTGGCTTTGTGCATGAAGAGACTTGGAGACCCTTAAAAACATATAGCTTGGTCAACGTTAGTGCGAGTCTGGTGATGAGATACAATGGAGGTTGCCTACGCTAGTATCGCCTGCGGAAACGCGGTGCACTAACAGTATCGGTTGAAAACCAAGGACAAGTAAGAGATTTCTGAGTTTACGGAGCTACAATTCCAATTGCAACATTTTTTGATGAAGTGCCAACACTTTCTGCAGGCTACACGGTCTGCTGTCACTGGAGGAACCGGCACCTACCTGGGCGCAAATGGCTATGCCATTGCCCAACCCGCCCCCAAGCCTGCCGAACACATTGACAGGTTCCTCCATTGCATCTACCTGTGTGAGAGTAGCTGCAACCTCCGCAAGCTCACCCCTGTGTAGAATATTGACAGGTTTCCCATGCCCACCAACATTTGCGTCGATAGAAATGGCAGATCGACGGTGACAGTATAGTCGATCAGTCTCCGTCAAACATGTCAAACCTGTCTTAAGTTATTAGGGCGTCACCTTCCATAACTTGAACTGGATAAGGCAAGGAGTGCGTGATCCACCTTCCGTGGGCACTGGATTGGATGCAAGTTGAACCTGATATGACTGATTGCCTCCATAGATGAACTTGAAGAACAGTAACAGTTCGGGTGGTCGCCATGCCGCCCCGCCGCCCCCGCTCGCACGCGCCACTACACTGACACAACGCGACGACCTGATGCGATGCTGAGCATCACTGAGCACCGCCATACGGTAGACGTAGCGCGTTTGCTGGACTCCACTGGCATGTATAGAGATTGTCTCGTTTTGCTGGACCGATAAGTTCACAAGTACTAGATGCTCAGTATGTATGCTCAGTAAAAGCTAAAGGTCTGCGGCCTAATGCATGGTATGCTTCTATTAAGTATACTGAGGCTTGCAATATTGTCACGTGAAGGACAGGTCGAGGAAAGTCACATAAAACTAGTGCAGCATTGTGGCGACGTTGTCGTCTACAAGGTTCACAAGGTGGACAACAGATATGCACGCCGCAAAAAAGTCGAATTATTTGTTCGTCCTCTTAGTATACCGCACAGTGCCCTCGATCATGAATCAGAAATGATGGGGCCGGGGTTCAAGAAAGTTAATGGCTCTGCACTGATCTGTAAAATTCCGAGTCTTATCACTGTGAATGATAGCCCAGTTCCCGAATTGACTGAGCCAGTCCTAGCTAGGTGATTTGTGCATGCCTCATGTAACTCATGCCGTGTTGGAAGGCCAGGATCGGATAGCCTTTCACTTGTCAGTGAGCATCAGTTGAAAGCTGGCCCGATCAGAAGGCCGGAGCTGATTGGCTCCTCAATATAGATGACATGCATATTGTTACACTCACTGATAACCAGCTGCCTTGTTTTATTGATGGCACTGATTCGCTTATGTCGTGACGTGATGATCGATCACTGTCAAGACTCCCTCAGGCTGTCCTCAATCAACACGAACGGACAAACATATGGGCAAGAACTTACACAGCCAACCATACTGAGTACTTGAAGACCTTTTGCAGTCGATCTTACATTCAAGGGACGAGAAACCCGTCCTGTATCCTTTGTCTTTAGGCACTTTGAAGGAGGAGAAATCAGTTTTGCTCAATGGAGGCTCAATTGTCTGCATATCGTTTGCAATCGACAGCCAAACTGATCCATTACGGTGCAGGACAAATGACTCAGCGTCCATCAAATTGCTGGGGTAAATCCAGCAGCTTATGTAGATTCAACTTCTTACACTCTCGATCTCAGATCTCCCTCTACTCTCGTTACAGTGGAATCACGTTATATTTAATCAGCCTCACAGCCTAGCTTGGTCTCACTTTTCTGATCCAGCTCTCGTCAAACTCAACTTCAAATTACACTCAGCGGAGACAGGTACATCAATCTGTACCGTCGCCGCGACTCGCTTCTTTCCTTCTCGTTTCCTGCAAGTCTTCCCTTCGTCTTTCAGGCTCTTTCGTGTCCTCTTTTCTACAAAATCGGAGGTCCCCGATTTAATGAGGACCAATACTGGTACTGCGACATTGCTCCATCAAAACTACTGTTAGGTGTTTCCGAGTATCTTCTTCCAATCACAAAACAATTGAGTACTCTCTCAATCGCTCGCTACCCACATTTGTCAGGTGCCCATCAAACCGTTATCCTGCTCTGCAAAATTGAAGTGTCTAGCGCGCGCCTGATTGCGCGCAGCCACTCTCTACCGGTCACCATGCCCACTTCACTAGACTTATCCTTCTCGACGAACCAAAATTTTTGCCATCTGTCAAGTACTCCGCTTATAGCAGATCGGATCGTTGCAAGCGCAACGTCGCCGATTCCGGACGGTTCTCCCCTATTTGCAGTACCTCGGCGAGCTTAAGCCCGCGGTTTGTAGAATCACGCTTCATTACTGTGGCGGCAAAACCCGCACGCATAGCAGCCTCCAAACCCACTCAACTTCCAGACGCTCTTTCTTTTCTTGTCGCTTCATTGCCTGTACCCTTGTCGTGGCCTTTTTCTATAAAAGCTTGGGGACTCTGGTCAGAGCGATTCCATTCGCTCCGCGTTTCACGGCGCGAACGGCGGCCTGCCCAGCTGCCCCCCTAGCGGCGCGAGGGCGTCCCTCAGGAAGGCATATGCCGCCTCGGTATCACTCGCCGCAAAGCGCACCAGCAATCCGGCTCCGTTAGCAACTGCGCGGAACGAAGTGCTCAAAACGCTCTGCGCGTTTGCATCTCCGTCCGAAAAGCACTTGCAAGACGCCAGGTTTGCGAGGGGGTCCCCCGCGTCAGCTTTGGCAGCTTTCATCGTTCCCAGGGGGTCGCAGCGCGGGGCCGCAAAGCCCCCTGCGAGGTGGCCAAGCGCTATGCGGCGCATCGTCTCCTCCAAACGGGGTCTGCGCAGAAGAGAGGGGACTGGATTTGTACGTTGAAGTGCGAAACGTGTTGCTTCGATTATCGCGGATAGCAGCAAGCTGTGTCGACAAGTCGGGCCAACGGATTCCGCCCAAGTTAAAGGACTCGACCGTGCGTGCGAATGGAACTCACTTAAGATCGGATAGTTCATGCAAGTTTTGGAGGAAGCCTTGATCAAAGTGGACACGGGATTGTGAGATCAAGACTGGAAGATCCTCACGAAGAAGCCAGAGCGGATTAACCATTTTGTTAAGGATTCGCAAGAAGGTCCTACTCAAACCTGAACAAAAGAGTGTCAAGGGTCATCTTCTCGGCATCAATCTGCGCCTACAAGCCTGAAGCGCGAAGCGAACCAGATATTCAACGGTCGAAGCTCTCAATAGCTGATGGCAGAAAAAATGAAAGGCTTTCGACGTGCCGACGACTCTTCCCGAGCTTCTTTTCATTAAAAGAATTTCGAGGCGGGTTTTCGACCAGAACGTTCACTCGGCGACGTTTAGCTTGTTTCCACGGGCTGCTGGTCGCTTCAAGTACCTACTCGCGTAGTGGCATAGTGAAGATTCAGTCACTGTGCCCCGTTTTTCACGTCAATTTGCTTCACATGGGCAGACAACATTCTACATTGGGAGTCCTGAAAACTTCAGCGGTCGCTCAGAACAGCACTACGTGGCCGAAAAGTGCCGACACTTCGCTCTCACGGTCGCTCGAAAAAGCACTGCACTGACTAAACGGAACCGACATGCAGTCTGTACGTATCTTTCAATCTGTGTCGTTGTACTTTTTTGCAGACATGCGCCAGGTTCAAAACGTCCCGACTCACCCAATTAGCAGCATCATGCCTACCACGTGCGCCCCTCCCATTCTCTCCTTGATCGAGACGCCGTCTTCGTAGCGCAACTGGCGGGAGTCAAAAGTCGATGCGCGTCAGCACGACCTTTCTTTTCAAGTCAAGGTATGTGTGCTTGTCGCCAACAAGTCAAAAAATTTCCTCCTGAATCAGAAAGTCCGAACGTCAAATATCACGAGCAGCAAAAGATTTGGGCATAGTTGTCGCACATTCAGCTGCTTTCACCTCTGATAAAGTCGTGCTATAATCTGCACAGAGATGCCTCGCAAAGAAGGACATCTGGAACATTACGCCGCTTTATAGACCTGCCAAACTCGTTGTGGAACTGTCCTTCCGACCTCGCAGGACAAGTTTGGATCCCAACCCTGTTCTGAGACGTTGCACGGGCCTGCTTGTGAGCTTGTCCGGAGGGTAAATGAATAATACTTGTAAAGGAGTCAAAGCGCTTCCAAGTGTCCTTACTTCCATCTTGTCTTGCAAAACGGGCGTCCCGTCACATTCCACGCTGTTGGCAGTTTCGAACGATGCGAACTCCCACGACTCGCCCAGCGCTTTCCGTCCGCTGGTCATCCAGTCCACGAGAACTAGACTGGCGTCTCCGCTGAGGTGGAACGACTGTTTCTGGACGAACCGGCTCCCGGCTAGGGGGGTGACTGGGTCAGGGAGGACGGCTAACAGAGAGCCAGGGCCCAGATGTGCCTGCGAGTAGAGATTCCAAAAGTTAGCCCTTGATGTTTTGTAGATCCTTTTTAGTGTTAAAAGGACTAGGTTTCGGGTCTTACGGACTTATGAAGCTTCGGTTAGAGAGTGGCCGGATGACCTCGTGAAATCTGCGAAACTTGGTTCAGTTCCAATCAGTTCGAAGCCCTGTCATCCGGCGTGACTAGACTAGCTTGAAGGTGCTAAGGGAGAACAGTCAGTGGCGAAAAACGGTTGGCACCCAGAATTCGAGTGCGCAAGCAAAGACGGAAACGATTCATCATAGAAACAAAAGCCCATACGAACCATACTCGAAGTGCGTATCCGGTTTGCAGACCTTTCAGCAATATCAGGTTGCAACGTCCGGCTAAGAGATGCAAGTGGAATCGGGACCTTTCAGGTATCTGAATCTGAACTTTGGACAGAAGCCTATTCACCCCGAGCCCGCTACCTTCGTTTCTTATGAAAGATGCAAGCAGAGGAAGACGAAAAGCAAGAAACGTCTCGGTTTACCATGATATGCGCTTGGCATTAGTGAGCGTCCTGAGTCGCCCAATAATGATGCCCACTTTAAACCTGATGGGAAATTGGCTCCTACGATTTTCCAGGTAGCTAGTTAGTAACCTAATCTGAAAACTTAGTCACAGCGCTCACCTCCATGATTTGCAGTGAAGTTTTGCCGTAGTGTGAGGGGCGCACTTTTGGCGAG